GGACGAGGTCAGGCAAGGACTGAAGTGGGACTTCCGAAGATGGTCCTGTACTAATGGCTGAGAGTTCGGTTTGCACACGCCGGTTTTCTAGCCACTCGTCGGAGGATTCGCAAAATTGGGGAACTCTTTTGAATCATGGAATAGCAGAATACAGAATAAAGGTTACAAAAGATATTGTAGAATTTCTTTATAATCCGTAACATTTCAAACTCATCGTTGAAATTTCACCATTTTTATTCTAATAAAATACGGTAAAATTAATTTCCATATTAAGGATATAAGATGAACGATATCAAGTATTTTATATCTATTTATTACATAAAAATAATACGTAAATGAAAACAAATCAGATTACCTATTTCTAAGTCACATTCCTATTTATATCACACTTTTATAACTACTGTATATAATTACTAATTTATCTCTATGGAAAAACTGCCTACGAGGATTCAGGTGATCATTTCGAAACATAAATATGTGTTAACTTCAGTTATCAGTGCAAGAGCCAAGTGTTTGAGGGACCAGCAAAATATCTATGTCAGAGAAACTGGCATAAATTGATGTTGCTCAGCTAAATCAAATCTTATTATTTAAAGTAATGAAAATATACACCTAATATATGCAAGATTACTCGTATTTACAATTCCTTAATTATAAATAAAAATTGATTTTTGTCGAGCAATATGAAATTATGTCTCTCTACCATAGATATTGTTGTTCCCTCCATAAACATTTGGCACTTACATTATACACTTACCACTTACATTTCCTTTTACGTGATATATTGTTGCCTCCAATTTATATTCCCCCTCCCCCCCCCCCTCTCTCTCGCAAAGAAAGATTTGAATCTCATCCTTATATGTAAACCCGATGCTCAGTTTCCTGCTGTATTTGTTGTCATTCAAAAAGGGAAATGGAAGCGCCACTTTACCATCTGAAAGTCTTTTAGAGCTAGATAGCAGAGAGTCGGGTGAATGCTCTCCCATTTTGGAGTACTTCCTTTGACATGGCCGATCGGTTAACCAAAATAATATACTTTCATTAACACTGCTATCAAGATTCAGTTCTTTACACACATATATACTTGTATGTGTATATATACATATATAAATATATATTGAATGAATACGTTAGCATATGTAAGTGATATTGCATCATTGCATATTATATATATATATATATATATATAATATATATATATATATATATATATATATATGTGTGTGTGTGTGTGTGTGTGTGTGTGTGTGTGTGTTGTGTTGTGTGTCTATAACACATACACATGTGTATGTAAATGTATATATACACATATATACACCCACCTGTATATATAGACACATATACATATGTTTACCTATATGTATATATACATAGATGTGCATATATCTATGTATATATATGTATGTATACATATGTATATATATGTGTGTGTATGCATATATATATATATATATATATATATATATATATATATATGTAGCATAGTGTATATATATATATATATATATATATATATATATATATATATATATATATATATATGTAGGCATAGGTATATATATATATGTATATATATATATATATATATATATATATATATATATATATATATATTATATATATATATACGCGGCCTTCGTGGTGCAGTGGCAACGCGCGCGATCGGTCACCCAGCGCGGGAGTTCGAGTCCTGCCCAAAGCGTCCGAGATTAAAAGGATGTGCATCCACTCGGGGCAAGTCTCCTCCTGCCAGAACCAAAGTCCTTCTGAAGAATGCAACGTCACAGCCATAGGACTGGATCTTATGAAAAAAATTAAATATGTGTGTGTCACATACAAACACACAGAGACCACATACACATATATACACCAACATATGTATAAAACACATTCTCACACAGGGAGATATGTATATCCCTCTGTTGTATGTCGAGAATGTCATTATCCACTTCATGACAATATATGGACATATTAATATGGTGTTTATATGTAGATGTTCACCCAACTCGTCAAATATGCATCACTACAGTATTACTTTCTTACAGCTAATAACCACCAAACCAGTCTGCCAGTATAAATGTTATGTATGCAAAACGACCACTATCCCTCAGGCTCGATTCATCGCCAGGAATGTCCTATAATCATCATCGCTAATCGCTCCGTCTTCACTCCAGAACGCAGACAAATCAATAATCCCGCTATCATAATGCTGCACTCCTCTATCTTCTCTTCTCTACACACGACACGTGTCTATAGCCTAATACCATTATCAGCGCGATTTTACATCCGCTCTCTCACTGTAGCCCCTTCCTACACCATGTCTCTCTGTACTCTTCACAACACGGCCCACCTTATCTGGATCGATGCCGATTCAACCTCGTCCCTACATCGTGCACTATAATCGGTCAACACACACACTCAGTGCATCTAACTACGATCACCAAAGCTATCCACTCTGACACAGCGTCGTATTCTTCGCTATCCTCTCGGAAATCCGCGAGAACAGCATGCTCACACAATCCTCAAAGGTATCATCTCTCCAGCCAACCTAAATAAATCGCATCTGAACATACTAATTCCAGACGCTCTTCCACTTCATCTTCTCGCGAAACACGTTACAAATCATCTTCTGTTATAGCTCAATCACACTAAACTATCACCTAACATACTATCGTCGAACGAGCATCATCACCACCTCTCACAGATCTCGAGCTGTTAGAGGTACATCCCACGTCACTCTACAACGTTACCTCTCTCAACAGTTTCCTATCTTTCTCATACGCAAATCTCACCCGTATATCGAATAGGCGCTCACTCTTTCAATAGCACGAGATAACCACTTCTCGCATATCTACCTATAGCCATCCTCTGCCCCCTAATTCACATCCTACAAGAGTCTACGCGCGTAATCCACATCGAACCGCTCAGAGACCCGAGCACTCTCCGAGCGCCCGATCAGAAGTCCGACATAGCCCTAACCTGCACTACAACGACTCTACCGCTCTACATCCGCAATCCAAGCCACTCATGAGCCCATGAACCCTAATAAGTTCCCACCTAAACCTATGCCCCAGAACATACTCGCATGAAGCGCGAGCTCCTATCGTCGCACCTTCACCCCATAACACACAACCCCGCTAGAACATCCATATCTCTCCCAAAGCTATACACCCATGCACCACAGTCAGTCTGTGTGTCATATCAGCCTAGAATTATGCTAGCAAATCCCACCCACCGATCACACCTCTATCTCTCTATACACACTCACCTAGACCGCCCGTCATCCGCTAACCGAGCCACATATACCAGGATGATAGCTCAATCTCCTCAAGTAACAACCTCACACACCTATCTAATCAATATCCAGATCTACTGGCACACTACGTATCATCAATCATCCTCGACCTCACTCATCACTATAATATCATCAATCCTCGCAGACAACAGCCCACTCGCATGCCAACAGAGAAACTCACTGATCATCACTGAGATCCACAGTCAGATTATATGATCATTACACCTCCTTACAATCAGTGGATCGATGCTGCTATCTGCCTAAGCCACATGCAAGTCTTTCACCAGACACATATTCTAACTCTCAATCTCGATCCTTAACCATCTTCATTCTACTCTAAAGCCATGCCACTATGCCATATATCATGCTTTTTCAAAACATAGCGCCAAGGGGCCGACTAACTACATCATAATCACTTTTATCTTGTGAGCAGTAACACCTATCAGATGCTCGCATGTGCGTACAGATCACGCTGCTCATTGCGTACCATATATCAAGACCCTATATGCTCTCATAGCCTCGACCAACATAATCTCCAACACCTATCTCTATCATACCACGACACAGGACCCTGCGACACGCCTACACGCGTTCATCACCTCTGAGTCTAGCCACCACACAGAGCACCAAGTGCGGCATTCGTACTATCTAGATCGAACCCTGCTGGGTAGCGCACGCACATTCGTGCGAACCACCACCATGACTGAGCGTCAGCTCCAGCTCGACCTCTCGCCACCTACCCACATACACCTATCACACTACCTACAGAGATGTCCAGCTATCCGGAAGCCGAGTACCCACAACGCATTTACGATATCCCTACCACCATATCTAGCAACCAGCTAAATCATCCTATGCAAGTACCATCCTCAGCGACCCCAGCTCAACACCGCGCCACCCACACACCACCTTCGCCTGCTCGCCAAGCCTCCAATCGCTATTACCTGCACAAAGCGCACTAGACTACAGCGCGCATGCACTTCAAGCACATATACATCTTCGACGTATACCGCGAAGCCTCACCTCTTGTACTCCGTACACATCCCAGTGCACTACAAGACTATCTAGAGTCATCACATACCTTTCCACACATCCACTCTCGATCTGTCGCGAACGATGTCTCACTATACACGTCTACCTCTGTCGCAGCTCTATCCTATATCAACGTACATCACCAACTCGCTATTCTCACACCAGAGCCCACACGATCAGCGAGCTCGTACAGTATCTCTATGACTCTCAGACTAAACTCCATAGCTCTAACCTCCACGCACATCAACAGTGACCCATGGCTGCCCATACATCAAGCAAATCTGTGGCATGTACCACTCTATAAAGTCTCACCGTCATAACGTGCCTCGCACTCAGAACACCATAAACGACCGTAGATTGAGCCTTACGCATCTGACTCTCCGATAACAGCCTGAAGCATTCCATCTCGACAAAAGATATCCCGCACGTGTCTAACACTCAACGCGATACACGACGCTCACGTCGCGATACTCACGCCATATCATTCAAACTCCGTGCTCAAGTACCCACATTCTTAGCGACCCACGATTGCCGAACGATAAAAGGTTCACAAAAGAATACAGGAGAATTCTATACCATCCTGTAAATTTTTCAAATTCCATATACTTTGTTTTCTGGACTGAATACAAATACCGATCAAAATGCATTTCCCATATTCAAGGACATAAGAATG